AGAGGGAGAGGGAGGGAGGGGGTGCAGAAATGCCAGCTGACGCCTCGTGCTGGGGAATCAATCTGTACCGGGAGCTTAGAGTGGCTTAATAGCCGCCATTCCTCAATCCCCACCCACTTTTACTGCCCCAAAAATACTTTCCAGACGCGCCGCAGATGTCTATTAGCTGGCTCAGTGCCTGCCACATTTAAATACAAATTAAAAAACAATTAAACATTTTCCCCAGCAACTTGGGCGTGCCTACGCCCCAAAAATAATTAAGCGCATAATTATTTAATTTGACGAGTGTGTGTGGCAGCCAGGGGAATTTAGGAGGAAGTGCCTCATAAGCCAAAATGAGCGGGGAAGGACAGACACGAGCGTATTGAGAAATGCTGGCGATATGAAAATTAATAGACGCACTTCCAAAGTGGCAAAAACAGGAACAAACAAGTGCCCAAGGAGGTGGCTGGGTGACTGGGTGGCTGGGTGGCCGGGAACACTTGAAGTGTCGTGTGAACGGGTGCTCGACAACAGGCCACCCGATACCCATTCCCATTCCCATACCCATTCCTGCACCCTAACCCACACCCGATCCCAGCCAGAGGCGACAGCTTCCAGACACTTCACCAAATGCCGGCGCCAGCATCAGACTAAATAGAACTGGGGGATGAGGAGGAGGAGGACCAGGACGAGTCACATCGAGGGGCACTGACTGTGTGCCCTGTCGAGGGCAGGAAAACGTGGCGTATGCTTGATATTTGAGTAGGGACTCAAGAGCAAGTTGCAACTGATTTGGCAGACTGTCAAAATATTAAAAACTCAGCTCTAATTGATGATTAGGGTGGCTTCTTCTCGCCACCGAAACTATCTTCCTTAAAGCCTAGACAGATAGAGCGGCATATCTTTAAACTCTCCCCCTCATCAACCCCCATTTGCCAACCCCCCCATCCATCTGCACCATTTGTTGTTATTATTAATTTTATGCGCCATATAAACGGTGGAAGGACCCTAAAAAGTCAGCAGCGTCAAGTAAACAAAAGCCTCCAACGACGCTCCATTGACTACAGCAACAAAAAGAGGCAACAAAAACAGGTCGCAATATAAAAAAAATGGCCACTGTGTGGCAAATACATATTAAGAAAAGGTCAGGCGACAAAGTAACGAAGGGAAAGTGGGTAAAAAGATACAAAAAGAACCGTAATATAAAGCATAAAATCCGGCAGGCGTGGCTGACATAAAATTCCGAAATTAATTATAATTTTTAAGTCGTTGAAAACAATTGGCAAATTTGGCAGGCACTCAGGCACTTAAGATGAGGAAAAATCGTTGATTAAGGTTCAGCAAATGCTGGGAGGAAAGTTGTAGGCTTAATGGCTGGCAAAACCAGTTGAAAGTATATTTAAAAACAAATTTATTTTTATGTATTTGTTCGGAGGTAAAGCTGTTTACAAAATAGAATCTCAATGTATACACAACACAAAAAACAATGCCATTTGTTTGATTTTATAATGTAATCATATAGTATCAATTTCACATAAATTTCGGTGGCTGCAAGTGCGTCTGAGGCAGAATTATCACATATGTGTGTCAAACAAAATGTCAAATTTAGACACCCAGAAAATTTAAGTTTTTGATTTTAGTCCACTAACCTTAACTTAAGGAACAAGGCACTGAAATTTGCTAAGCATGTGCATTTTAAACATTTTTTTGGTCCATTTATTTCTTAAATGTATATAAGGGTTCATTTTTAAGGCCATATAAATCAACGTTTATCCGTTTTAAGTCCATAATTCCTTAAATCAAAGTCCTCTTGTATTATCAAGATTTTTTGTAAAAGGACAATTACAAATTAATATACATTCATTGTTAAACATTTCGAATACCATATTGATCTTTTAGAAATCAACGATGAACGCCATCCATCTAAAAAAATCCTATAACCGAAGTCAATGGGCTAAAATCAAGGACTCTTTTTTGTGTGTATATACACTACGAATTTTCACTTGTATTATCAATTTTATTTGTAAAAGAATAATACCAAATGGATAGACATTCATTGTTACAAACTAAACTTTATTGAACTTTTAGAAAACAACGATGAACGCCATCCATCATAAAAAATTCCTAGAATCGAAGTCAATGGACTAAAATCAAGGACATTTTTTGCTGAGTGTATATTACTAATTTTCACTTGTATTATCAAGTTTACAAAAAAATAATATAAAATTGATATCCATTTATAGTTAAACATCTGGAATACCATACTAAACTTTTAGAAGAAAACGAAGAACACCACCCGTCAAAAAACGGGCTAAGACCAACGACATTTTAGTCGCCTGCCAACTATCGCACATGTGCTTTAATGTGTGTGGGTTCTGTGGTCCATGCCATTGTCATTGCCATTGACTTGGTCCTATTCTTAGCCGTGGTCGTGGTCGTGGTCTTCGGTCTTCGTTCTTGGGTCCCGGTCGACGTCATATTGTGTTTGGCAAATCGTTTGCGATAAAGCCAACTACATAATGTCTCTGTAGGCCAGGGAATGGAGGACGAGGACGAGGACGAGGAGGGGGAGTGGAGTGGGATCCGGGTCGGGACACATAAAAATGCTAAACCAGCGCTATGCTGGCGTCGCAGCGACGCACACCCAAATGCCAAATACCAATTTCCAACCCCGTGACCCCATCGTTACCCTCCATATGTGGGCCTCGGGATAATGCGCGTTATCCTTGATTGCCTGCCTCGATATTGGGCCACGGGCTAAGGCTAAGGCCCAGGCTCAGGATCGGGCCAAGGGATATGGAATATGGGCTGGCTGCAAACAAGCCGCTTAAACTCGCCCCTCGCCTCGCCATCCCCGGGCAAAGTTTGATGCTCTATGGGAAAAGGGGTAGTACTGCTGTTAGATAAAGCCGGAACCTTAATCAATCTCTGACTAAAAACCAGGAACCATCAGTAAGAGTAATTTGTACGTAAAAACTACAAAGTGACTACAAAGTACGTTAAAGTCACCTAACTGGTTTAAAAAATAAATAAAGTTCACAGTAAGCCTTTTAAAGTAAAATCACAAGCGACTTTCATAGGTAAGACCCCTTAATTTTTACCCTTAAAAATTATGTTTATTTAGTTTTAAGTTAAAGCACTTGCGTATCGGTTCTTAATTTCTAAAGAAAATTACCAAAATGCATTTCCAATCTTCTGTGTATCCTTTTAACACAAAACTCTTTGTTGAAAGTTCTCTAAGAAATCCTCCTGAGTGGATTACAGCCATCGAAACTTGAATAGTTCATAGTGGCAAGTATATTGGCCATTAAAGAAAATTCCCCATTAGAGCGTATGCCTCAGTTCGGCTTTTCGGATAGACCGGATACCGATTGTTTCACTTCCCTGTGTTTTTGCCGTTGAGCCTATCGTGATTTGGCTCTTTTCGGCTTCGAGCTCCTTTCAGTTCCTGATGCCTTCTGGCTTCTTGCCTTTGTGCTTTATGCTCATCATCATTTGCCGGGGCTGAGAAATCGCAATAGAATCAGATTTTTGCCTCTTTCTCGGCGGCTAATTGGTGCCCAAATGCCAACTGCCGAATGGTTCTCCTTCCACGAAATGCGAAAACTGGAGGATGGGATGGGTGAGGATGGGGCAACCAGGGAGCAACCAGGGAGCAACGTCGTCCAGGGGCAACTAGCTAAACAACAATTTTAATTGCGACCAGGCAGAGTCAACGTCTGGGACTCGGGCCAAAGGCAAATGAGCGAACGCTCCAAGAAATATGAACGAGGTCAATGATTGTTTACACTACCCTCGAATGCTGTTTACTTCGAGCCGGCGACGAGGGGGGGTATGTGGGGGGGGGGGGGAGGGGCAGCAGGTGGGGTGGCGGCACGGTGGGGTTAGTTGTAGTTACCAGACACCTTGGAGGCAACGCCTTCAGCGAAAACCAGATAGTGAGAGAACAGGAAAATGCAGTAATTAGAAAAACACCAAGATGTAATTATTTATCTTATCTTTATTTGCCTGCAAGATAATCCAGCGAAACCTTGAAATGCGATCTCCTCTTAAACATTTATAAAAGAAAGTATATTTTTAGAAAGATGGGAAGAGCAAGCTAGCATTTCAAGCAATTCATTAACTTGTAGTTTTCACTTCTATGTTATACTAAAGTTACTAAAAACGGTATATAGTATTTATTCGAAAACGGGTCTAAGTCAGTCTTTTTCGCTTGCAATGCCTACTGTATTTAATCTTAAACTTAGTGGAAATGTATGGTATATACTCCGTATGGAAATATCAAACTAGCATATCAAACATATTATTAAGTTGTCTTTTTCACTTGCCACCTTAACAAATGTATTTAATGGAAATATATGGTATATACTAAAAATGGCGTGTATGGTATTTACTAAAAATGGTACGTAAAGTATTTGTTCCAAAACGAGTTAAATAAAGAAGCATATTATACGTGTTGTCCTGCCTTTAACTTGTGTTTTTCACTTGTAATACCTATTTGATTTTAACTTATTTTTAATGCAAATATGTGGCATTTGTTCCACTGTGGCAGCCATTAGGCCTCGGGGCCTCAATGGGCACGTGTGTGTGAGTGTGTCTGCGGCACACATAGAGTGCGAAAGAGGGAGGCAGATAGAAGGAACAAAAAGGGGGAGATGCATAAACACTTGGCTGTGCTACTACAGATTTTCCAGTTGTTGCCTCATTTAAGAGAACTCCCTGATACGAGAATATGAGCTAATCAATACCTATGAAACCAGAAGGAAGTTTTCCAAAAGCCTTATAAATAACACTAAAATGAACATCGACCACTTCAGATTCTTTAGTTGTTGCCTCTTTAAGAGAACTCCCTGACTCGAGAATATGAGCTAATCAATACCTATGAAACCAGAAGGAAGTTATCAGAAACCCTTATAAGTAACACTAAAATGAGTATTAACCACTTTCGAAAAAGCCTATCAAGGGAGTCGTCGCCCGAAACCTCAAAGACTTACCCTTCACAATATCAGTGTCTACATTAGTCCCCTATCGTACGGTCAACATACAATACCTCTGATCAACTATTTAGTTCTATCTATCGAAAATTTCTCACTTTCCTATCAAAGATGATGCATCGCTATCATAATCGCAAAGTAGCTGCGGAGATTCTGCGTGATCTGTACGAGTCCTGGCTGATCGTGGTCATCGGGATGTTCGTCCACTGGAACCATTTGCGTCTGTTGGCCTACGATCCCATATCGCCACTGGATCCCCTGAGCCAGTTACCCATGGGCGAGAATCAGCGCTGGGCGGGACTCTTCTTCGGCTGCGGCGTCATCCTGGCCATTCTACAGTACCGGGCGCGCTGGGTACGCCGGTGTCGTCATCGCGTCAGCCTGCTGATGCTGGTGGCCGAGCTGGTCCTGGTGCTCCAGCTGACCGAGTGGATGGACCGCCAGCTGTGGCAGCCCTTCCTGGGCATCACTCGCGAACTGTTCCTGGCCCTGGGAGGGGCCCAGTGGGGCTCCTGGCTCTTCAGCCAATGGCCCGCAGCGCAGTCCCTGCTCCTGAGTGGCGTCGCCTTCGACTACTTTCGCCTGGTCACCTCGTTCGCCATCTTCATTGCCGCCTTCGACTCCACAGCCGGCAATTGGCGGGTGTCGGTGGAGTTCTTGCTGATCGGCTACCTGCCGGAAACTTCGACCAGGAGTCAGCTCATCCAGGAGAAGCACCGGAAGAAAAGTCTCGAGCGAACCAGGAAGGGCCTTCTGCCGACCCCATCGCCCGAGTCCCTCATATACAAGCGTTTGTGCTACATCTGTATGCAGAAAATGAATTCGGAGCCTCTTGATCTAGAAATCTCGGGTCTCTAAAAAACCATAGAGCCGAGAACAAAGACCAATTAACCCAAACAAAAATTTAGGTCCGAAAAAAAAGTTTAAAAGACACACACACCTATACAAAGACAGTGCGGTTCCTTTCTTAACGTTTCTTAACTTGTGATACACTTCATATTAACCAAAATAAATTGTTGTTTTGTTGAGTTCGGAACCTTCTAGATATAAATCGGTAACCATTGGTTAGTAAAAGCAGGATATTTTGATTTGTCCCATGATATAGTTACTGTAACGAAATACATACGTTAACTTATAGGTACAATGGGCCCAACCCATTTTTGTAGTTATCCAACATATAAAATTAATCAAATTATTAATTAAGAATTCATAGATTCTTTCCTGTGGCACAGTCATTTATAAGTAAAATATTTAAAAAGTAATTTAAAAATTACATTTCCTAACAGTAAGGTGTGGCTTGCACTTGACTTCCATCTACTGTGGGAGCTTGCTAAGGATTTTACATAAAAGAACCTAAACACCTGATGCAATAATCAATCACTCACTTACTATTAAAATAACAAAATACAGTCATCATTTCAACTTAACTGTGTTAATAGTAGTCAAACTATTAAAAAGTAAGAAAGGCCAAAACAAATAATTTTACAACTATTTGTAATAGTCAAGTAATATTTTGAATAGATACGGAATATTTGCATTGGTCAAGAAAATCCGTTTGTGTGTTTGATCTTCCGATAGTCCTATAAGAGGAGTCATCTGTATATTTTGTTGGTCCAAAATGGTCATCAGAATAAAGCGGCTTGCCTTACCACAGACTAAATAGCTTGTGTTTACCTGACAAGCCAGTAACTGAGACACGCTTTCAAGAACCTTTGCTATCAAATTTAGCTAGAAACCTTTTACTGTGAATTTTTTATAATCATTGGCTGGTGACAGTAGGTTGTAAAAAAAACCAAAATGAATATTACACGCTTTTATATATTATTTGTCTCAGTATGATCTTCTGCTAGTCTTGTAAGTCGAGTCAAAAGTTAGTCAAATGTGGTTACCGAGGTAAAATGACTTCTATAACCCCAGGTTAACCAGCCTTTGTTTACTTTGCCAGCCAGAAACTAAGACTGCCATCGATTTCGACAACCTCTGCTTATAAACAATGAAAGAATACCGGAATACTGGGCAAAGTCATTCGTCTGAGGCCCTCAAACTGCCGGAATAACCGCAGAGTTTGGGCCCAAAGATAACACCAACCACACGTGGACCGCAAATCGAATAGAATGGCAAACCAATTGCAGTGGCCCTCATTAGGCCACCCCTTTTGCCACGGGGTATCTGCCTAATTATCGGGCCTGCGGTGGATATGGGGTAATATTGTTTATCCAGGGAACGCAATAATGACATACCTGGCACTCATTTGTGTGGTCATCGAACGCTGCGGTGGGTCTTTGGCTTTCCCGTGTTTGCGATGACAGTAATCGACTGATTAAGCGCAATTATAAATGTAATTCCCACTCAAACAGAGACAGAAACAGTAACAGATACCGATACAGATACAGATACAAAGGCGAAAGTCTTTGGCTTAAAAACAAATTGCAGAACCGTTTAACGCATTAGCGCGCACACTTAATTAGAATTCACTGGTTGTTTTTCTGTGGGGCGGTAAAAGTGGGTGGTAAAAAGGGGTTGGCAGGGGAAGGAGGTTTTTAAAATATGCACAGCGCACGCGAGCGGCCCAAAAAAAATATATAAAAAAATTCGGGAAAAAAGGGAAAACACACAGAGAAAACAGAAAAACTGAAAAACAGAACAACAATGAGTAAACCGAACCGAAAATCGAGTCGCGAACATGCAACTTGTGCGAATGGCAATCGAATGCCAGCAGCCGCACAAATGCCCTGGGCCCTCGGTCGCAGTCGCTGCCGCAGTCGCAGTCGGCGTCGGCGTCGACGCCAACTGCGCAGCCGGCGAAGGCAGAGCAATTGAGCAATTGAAGAATTTACTTTGCATTTCTTGCAGGTACCGCCTGTCGTGGTTCGGCGGTGACTAATTATTGCTCAGGTTCAGCCCGGCTCTCTTCCTCTTGGCCTCTGCCTAAATATAGTAAATAATAAAAATTCTGACGAATAACAAAAGGCAAATAAACAATAAAACGGCAGCCGTAGATACAGATACAGATACAGATACATCTGCAGATGAAGATACGGACACGGGCAGCAGGCAAATCAAACGAACCGTTTATTGGGCTGCTGCTGCTCCTATTTGTAGATCGGTTTTATCAACAGCGAAACGAACTTTGCAGACACTTCTGCTTAATTTAAATATATTGTATCTTTAGCTGCCTCCAAACCTTTCACATCTTTGGTTTTTAAAATGGTAAGGTTGTTCCTTAAAAATATTTATACTCTTTGCTCAAATTAAATAATAATAAAAAGCGAAAACAAGACAGATATTATCATTTAAAGCCTTTTAAAATAAAGCACATGCCCCATTTCCCTTCGTCCACGAAAACAGTATCAATTTGTTTAGCTTTTTATTGCTTCCTAGACACTAGAAAATACTTAAAGATATTTTTGGAACATCGTCTTATCGTTTTTATATTCGCTGCTAAGCATTGCGATAGCCAAACAAAAATATTCCAAATATTATAATTAAACGCTTTAAATTCAACTCAAAGCCATATATCTTTATGTTTGTAGTGTATGTTATGTGTCTACAAAGTATTTAAGTTCAAATTCCTGCTAGTATTAAATACTCTCGAAAATAATCTATAATTAAATGCATTGTTCTTCGACAGCCTTATTGCTCTCATGAATCACAAGTAAGTATGGCTACATATTGATTGGTTTCTGAATCGAACTGTAATTGTTGCCCTTTCGCTTCAATTAAACGCTCTGCTCAGATCGCTTTGGAGCCCATTAGTTGAAGTACTTCCCGTGGGCTTCATATCGTTCGTTGATGATGATCAAGTGGTGATCACTTGACGGACAGCCAGCGCTTCCATTTCCCGTTTCAATTTGCAGCTCAGACCAGCGAACGCGCCAAGAATAAATTCGCAATTGCGTTCAAAAGAGGGGTTTTTAATAGGCGCACCTACGAGGGGGGTTTTGGAAGGGGGGCGATACCGCTGACGTCGACTGCGGCAACTTACTCACACACTCTCCGCGATGCCGATTCCGAAAAGAATCGAATTCGAATACGAAACGGGCCAATTATAATTATTGTTTATTTGTACTAGTTCGGGCAGGTCAGGGGCGTGCGGTGGGGGGGGGCCAATGTAAAAATTGTTAATTTTCTCAGTTGCGTGCCATTGTTTTCGCATTTGTTTCATACGCTTTTGTTCCTTGCCTTTTTTTGCCGACCCAGCAATGAAGCGGATTGTATAGATACATTCGGATTCAGATACAGCCACGGATACAGATGATGCAGCTGCAGATACAGAATCTATTTTGGTTTTTAATCTGGCAGCCTTTTATTATAAATAGTTGGGCTGCCTAGATAAACAAGCTGCCGACGCCACTGCCTCAGTCGCTGCCTCTGCCGACGCCTCTGCCAGCGCATCTGCGGGCAAAATTCATTACTAATTCATGTCCAATTTCCAACGCCCGCGGCACGCACAAAAACCGCAAAAGGTAATCAAAAATGCGCACCCCGCCCAAAAATGAAAGAAAAAACAGCTAAATGAAAATTATCAAATGTCAACACTTGCGGCAAAGGCCTGTCAGGAGAGTTATGAAAAGTTAGGCGGTTGGCTGGGAAATATGTAGAGCTCATTTAGCGAATTAAATCAGATGGATTTCCCATCATCATAAATCATAAAAGTGATGTATATCCCCTAATAGGTAATTTTGTGTGCATTGTTCATTGCAATTTTTAGTAATAGGTATAATTATCAGTAGGTAACCATCAGTGTTTCTGTATTAAACAATATTTATTAGGCTTCTTCGAAGATATTTTGGTTAGTTTCCTAATAGGTATTTTGGTTGGCTGGGAAATATCTAATGTTCATTTAGCGAATTAAGTCGAATGGGTTTCCCATCATCATGAATCATAAAATTGATGTATATCCCTGAATTGGTAATTTTGTGTGCATAGTTCATTGTAATTTTTAGTAAAAGGTATAATTATCAGTAGGTAACCATCAGTTTTTCTGTATTAAATAATATTTATTAGGCTTTTTCGAAGATATTTTGGTTAATTCCCTAATAGGTATTTTTAGTAGTGTCCGTAGAACCTTCTAGAAATTCCCCTTTACCTTATATTTTTGCCCATTTTAAGTAGATTGTTTCACCATCAATTTCCTGGGCGCACTCAAGGCAAGCCCACACAGCACTGACATGTAAGTACATCAATTAGTACTAAGTACGACATCAATCCGGCAAATAAAGTTGACCCAACTTGCTACACACTGTTAACATGTCAGCCTGAGCATCTGACCATCTGACCATCTGACCATCCAGACACTTGAAGTTTGCTTTGTGCAAACATTATACATTTAGGTGCTTACGCTGCGTATACGTTACGTTTGGGGGCAAATCCGTGTAATCGCCATGTAGCTGTCTCCGTTGATTGCGCATACGCCACGTTTGACTGGCCGTAGCCGTTAATGGCCATTAAACAAAACGCTCTCTAGCCATAGCCAAAGCCAAAAGCCAAGGCAAAAGCCACAGTCAACTTGCCCATTAAGAGCCCGACAATTAAGTTGAAACTTTCATGTACTCAGAGGGTCCCCTAATGGGGGGGGACCATCCAGAACAGCTGGCGAAGACTCCCAGGAGTTGGGGGCTACTTACCTCAATCAAAATAATTATTGCCCCCTTTGGATGACCCAATTTCAACTTTGAATTGAACAATAAAGTCGCTCGGATGCTCGCTTTAAAATTTTTATTTGAAGTAAGTAATATTTTCTGACAGTAACAAGATAAATTTTCCATTCCCCCTTAGGCGATTACTTAAAAAAAATAATTACGTTTTTTCCTTGGTAAAAGAATTTGATTTTCGTTTTTATGTTCTATAAAGTTTTTAGTTTTTCTTATAAGTTTTGCTGCATGTGTTTACACAATAATCGTAATATTCGACGTTGCCATATAATCATAATAATAACAATCGGAATCGGAATAATAATTATGATAAATAACCGTAAATAGAGTAGTACAAACGAACTGAAAGTCGAGTCAAGGTAAATGGGAGAAAAAAATTTGTTTGTTTATTTTTTAGCATTTGTTTCTCTTCGTTTTTTTGTAAAATATACGACCTTTGCTTTAATTGTTATCGTTATATTTTCGGTTTTTCTGTTTTTCGGTTTTTCGGTTTTTCGGCTTTTGAATTCTTGACTTTATACATTTCGTTTTGTTCTTAGCAAGGAAATCAGATTCAAGTTTGCTAAAGAATATCACTAAAAGTGTCATTAATTTCCCTTCGCTATCATCTGGTTTTAAGTTATTTCCGCATTATCAGACATCTCGCTTGGATATCCGTGTATCTGCCATGCAATAATTTATTATTATTTCTATTTGCCGGTCGACTCGTTACTCGTTATTGCACGGTGTGTATATAAGTTATGTATATATTTATTATCGTATATTTATTCATATATATAATTACCCATATATATATATATATGTATATAATGCATGTATAAGTATGTAAAATATTGCTTGTGAAACGTTTAACTTGACATTCGTGTGGTTTGTCAACGGCGGTGGAAAGAAACTCATCTTCGACTTCCATCGGTCGTGTGCTGCTTTTTTTCCGGAAAAACCTGTACTCACCGGCCCATTGTAAATTAATATAAATATTTAATAATTTTCGTATTCGTTTGTCGGCTATTACAATTGACTTGATTCGTTTCAAACCCATCCAATTCAATCCACAAAAAAAATTCCTTGCTCTAACTTACTGTTTTTTTTCCTTTTTTCTTATTATTGTTTTTTTGTTTTTGTTTTTGTTTTTGTTTTCGATTTCGTTTTTTGTTACTTAAGACCCGTTATATTTTGGTGTTAACAAACTTATTCGGTACTCCTCGTTCTGTCAGTGTGTGAGTGGGTATGCGCGTGTGTGTGCGGGTGTGTCTTGTGGAGTGGTGTGCGTGATTCACTTAGTGTTATTTACAGTTTGATTTCCTTATTTCCGCTTCCGCTGTTACGCGTCTCCTTACAAAAAAAAAACAAGTCAACGTGAAAATTGCGTTGAGTTTTCCATTTATCTGTCATATAATTGTTTAGTTAATATTATTTATAAATGTTTTTCTTTTTCGTTTCGTTTCGTTTCGTTTTTCTCAATTTCTTTTAACTACTAGACTACAGACACATTTGTTTTGTCAGCTATATCACTTTCGAATTATTTAATTATTGATTAAGTTTTCGCATTACGTTTATTGTTAATATACTCGTACAAGTGTGTGTGTGTGTGTTTGTGTGTATGGGTGTGTGGGCGTGTCAGTATGCATATGTGTGTGTATCATATCTTTCAGTTTTTTCTTCGAAGAATTTCAGTGAGGTTTATAGAAGCGTTTTGTATTCGTTTTTGTTTTTTGGTTTTGGTTTCGTTATAGTTCCTTAACTTGCTTTCGATTGCAGTGCTTACTATATAGAGTATATATAAGTTTAGGCATATATGTATATATACACATACATATGGCTATATGTGTGCGTGTGTGTGTGTGTGTGTCGATGTTTGGGGCAAGTGTTTGGGTTGCATGGCATTATTCTTAAATTTTTATCGTGTTTATTCTTTTAGTTCGGTGCTTAAATACATGGAAAGCATAGGAAAAGATAAACGTAAATCGGTCAATTGGGAATGTTCTCAAAGAAGGCAAAGCAGGCGAAATTATAAGAAGAATTACTACTACATACATAGGCACTATATAGATATAGATATACAGTTGTGTTTTCGGGTGAGTGTTTATGTCTTTCGGGGAGGCCAAGATCTCCCCTATCTAGATTACACAAAGTCTACTGAAGGGGGCGTGAGAAAGCGGGGGATTCGTATTTATAGATAGTCATCGGAATAGTAAAACGGTTGACTGGTTTATTGTAAAATCAATGCAATAATAAAGCTGAACCGCATATAGAATAGAAATTAAATCGTATGATGGATTTGTTTCATTGTTATATATATATATATCCTAACTGCTCCAACTTCCTTGCTCAGCTGCTGCTCGAGGACCTGGATATACATCTGTGTATAAATATATATTATATGTTCATGTTCTGGCTGTTGATGTGGCTCTGGTTGTAGCTGTGCGTTCTTTGATTAGTTTATCATTTATTAATGGCTCGATTTCGCAGCTATTTCTGGATTTCTGGGTTCTGGGTTCTGGGTTCTGGGTTCTGGGCACTGTTTCAAGACCTTCGGATCGACTCCTGCTCATCCTGCTCCGCCTATTGTCAATATGTTCGTGTTGTTCTTGTTGTTATTGTAAATATGGTTGGGTTATTGTTGTTGGGAACGTATAACGCTTAACGGAAAACAAGGCAAAGCAGGAAATACAGATACAGAGAGAGGGAAAGAGATAGTGATAGAGGTAGAAAGAGAGAGAGAGAGAGCAAACGAAAGCAAACACTTTATCTGCGCCTGTCGGGTATGCAACACTTTTTGTAATCGCTGCTGTTTGGATTCTATCAAAAACTCATCTGCAGATTCAATCTCTTTCCAAGGGGAACTGCGTAAGTAGTCATCACTGTGCGTTTCATGGCTGTAAAGCAGCTGGCTGGTACAGGAGATGGACTACAAAATCAAGGTTGCTGGCCATGAAACGCACTGTACTGTGAAGGCCCTACAGACTTGTGAAGAAGGCCACAATCTCAAGAAGAATCGAAAGTTAAGATATCGAAATATCACCAATAATAATATAGAACAAATTATACAATTTGAACTGAAGTGTAAATAACCAGTTTTCTAAGAAACCTAAAATATAAGTTCCAAATCAAAGGTAAGCTTCAGGTTTATACTTACGAGAACTTAGGTCAGCGGTATTGCCGAAATTAGAAACATGAAATCAACAAAGGCACTAACATATAGAGGCGTATCATGTGATATATCAAAGTCATTATTGACAGCTAAATCTATCGTCCATGGTCTTATCGAATGTCGCTTACAATGCCATTTATTTTCGATATTTAAATATTGCCATTTCTACATAGAAGAGAGAATAAATGAAAGTACTGGGGAGAGGGCTATCCAAGTTTCTCTCATGATAAATTTACCATAAACAAGGGTTTTTTAGCCTACTGGTGATTTTATTTTGGCAACCCCTCTGTTTGACCCCCCTCTAAACTCTGAACCCTAGACTCTGTTCGTCCTGTCTGCGGCCACTTCTCGGATTCATACATGTATCTATATGTATTCATATATTTAGTGTGGGTTAAGTGGCTGCTGTTGGCTGTCGTGAGTGGATTTAGCTGACTTGGATCGAGTTTAGATTACTCGCCTTATCATTAGCTTTGCTTCGAAGGCTGCGCAATTGATTCGTAGGCTTAGTTCGGCTCTAAATGTATCGTTTAATTGTATAGTATAATTATGCTGATTTATTCGTAGGTTTAATTAGTTTACTCGTAATTGGTGTATGCTTCAAAAATTGATTTGCGCCTTCCCGCCTTCCGATTTTATTTAAAATTAGTATAAGTTTATTTATTTTTCTCCTTTTTTGGTTTTTCCATTATTCCTATGAACTGCGCTCTGACTACGCCATGATTTCCTATATATTTATATTTTGGTGTATATTTAAAAATTAATTTCATTTTCGATTCGTTTTCGTTTTCGGTTCGTTTATTTGGTTTTCCATCTCGTTTAGTTATACTTTATGCATATATCAAAAAATTATTATCATCTTCAGTGTCGCAAGCGACGCGCGGAGAATCGAGAATTGGGAATTGAGAATTGAGAAAAGCGTAGAGAGAAGAGAAAGTGAATAGTGAAGAAGCGAATGCAAACGAAGGGAAGGGGCGTGGCACCGTGCCGTCCTCCTCCTCCTCCCCTCTAATTTTCTTTTACTTTTACTTTGCGGTTTCTGTTTGTTTTTTAGCGGGTTTTGATCAAATTTCAGTATCAGTATCGGATTTCTTTTTATTGCGCGCTTGGTTTCTGTGGAATTGGAATTGGGTCTGTTATCGGTAAACGGCCATTGTTAATCGGTTTAACCACCACCTAAACTTAACGCCTGAACTATACGTGGATCAGCTTTACTACCCTCACGAAATTCTTCTAATGTTAATTTGCCATCGTGGTTTTTATCCATTTGATCGAAGATCTTGTCCACTCGTTTCTGCGGCGTGTTCTCGTCCTCCGATTGCGGCTGCTGTCCCTGTGTTTTAGAGGGGGTTTAAAAGGAATGAGATGAGAGTGATGTTACATATGGCAATATAAGGTAACATGGCACTAAAGGTCCTTTCTCCAGCTCACTTACCACCATCTGATAGATCGCGTCCACTATGTTGTACATCTCCTCCCGCGTTATGTAGCCATCGTTGTCCACATCGTACAGACGGAAGGCCCCTGTGGCCGAGGCATGAATAATAGTGGCAAGAAAATAATAAAATTACTTATCGATTGCTGGGCTTTTTGCTAGAGACGTTTTAAGGTCTTTTCTGGAAAACATGGCACCACTTACACTGCAGTTTTTCGTCCAGGTTGCCCTTCGATGTGACGGATAAGGCGCGTATGAACTCCTCAAACTCGATGGAGCCATCCTGAGGACCCATTAAAACGGAAACGGAAACGGGAGGGGAGGGCGAGAGAGAAAAGAGAAAGGGAGAGGGAGAGGGGGAGGAGAAAGCACGCACACACACAGAGGGAGACACACACGCGCAGCGAGACAAAGAAAGCAAATCAGTGCAGAAATCAGACAGTTGACATTTTGTGGTGGCGGGGTGGCAGAAGGGGGCGGGCCACGCCCATGGGCCATAAATAATAAAAACGAAGAACAACAAAAGCACCCAAAATTTATGATCACCCATCCCATAAATCCCATAAACTGGGCGGCGGCGGTGAGAGCAGGACATTAACCTGCTGAAATCAGTTTATTTGTGGCCGTCTCAGATTTTCAGCCAACGTCAGCACGGCCACAAGAAGGTTAACCCAACTCTTTTGTTAGAAAAAACAAAAAGCAAAACAAAATTAACATATACAATCTATGAATACTTATGTAAATATTCATTTTATTGTATTTCTTTTTTGGTAAATAAAATTCTCTTGCTAAATAGGAAATTTTGGGCAGTATTGTTGAGAAAAACCAACTATTCAAAAAATATTTTCTTGCTTTTTAAAAACGATGCTTTAGTTTACACAACAAATTGTATACAAATTTATGGAGGCAAGCTTTTAAACATTCTTTGAGAATTTCTTAGTTCCATTTTAACTGCGGTACACACAAAAAAATACATTTCCATTTCTCACGGGCTAATAAAATAAAATTCATTTCATTATTGAAGACTATATATTTCCATTGGTTAGTAAACTTAACATTGTAAATTGCTTGAACTGACTATTTTGTGTAGTAGATTAAGGAATGGAAAGTATACATTTTCACTTTTGAAAAAAAAACATTTTCCATTGGCTCATAATATCAAATACATTTATCTATCGAAGACTATATGTTTTTATTGATAAGTAAACTTAGTATTGTAAATTGTTTGAACTGAATATTTTGTATAGTAGGTTAGAGAATGAAACATTTTCACTTTTGAAAAAAAACATTTTCCATTGGCTAATAAAATGAAATACATTTAATTATTGAAGACTATATATAACATTAACATTGTAAATTGTTTGATCTGACTATTTTATATAGTAGATTGGGGAATGGAAACTATACACTTTCATTTTGGAAAAAATCATTTCACATTGGCTAATAAATGAAATTGAAGATTATATATTTTCATTGCTTGAACTGACTATTTTATGGATTTGGGAATGGAAATCATTGTGTAGGGGCGTGGCCAGCCCCTTTTTTTGGGAGAGGGCGGTTCAAATAGTTGGGCATACTCACATTGTTCTCATCGAAGACACGAAAGACGAGCGATGCGAATTTACTGGGATCGCCTTGCGGAAAGAATTGTTTGTAGATTTTGATGAAGCCCTGGAGAAAGCGGGAAGGGGAGAAAGCAAGAGAGAGGGGGCAAAAGACAAATGCAGATGAATCAATTAGGGGCGTGGCACATATGTCGGCGGAGCCGGGTTCGTGTTTGAATAATGCTCGCATTAATAAACTTCATTATCAACAAACAGCCGACGACGACAGCAGCAACATCAACATCTACAAAGGCAATGTCATTAGCAGTCGGGGTCGTCAACACATTTGGCCACCCCTCCCCACCCCCATTTGTATCTTCCTGGGGGGGGGGGGATCCATCCATGTCTGATGTGGCTGCTGTCGTGGAATTAGCAAACATAAATCGCGAGGGGAGTTGGGTGCCAGGCGGAAAATTAACTTAATTAACCGTTTGACTTAAATGAATTGGCCACGCTCAGGTGGAGTACAAACACACACATCAGGCACTTAAAGACTTAAAGCCCATTTATCTTCATATATCCTCACATTATATGGCATCCCCATCCACATTCGATACTTACTTGCTCTGTGAGCAGGCCGTTGGGACAGTCTTTCAGGAATCCTTTGTGCCTGCCGAATTGCCGAAAATATGGTTGGCCAAAAAGAATTGATACATATTCAGTTAATTCGCAGACATTTTTGCCAGCCCACGCCCACTCACCATTGACGTATTTCTTTCTCTGTGACTGCAATGGAAAACAAACAGAAAATCGAAGTGGATTAAATTTTTATGCGGTATTTGAAATATTTACAAGGTGCGAGTGAATTATTTTGAGTTGGTCTGGGGGCGGGGAATATGGTAAAATGTTCAATTGAGCACAAACTCATGTGGGCTGTGTTGAACCATTACCATTAAAATGGTACAGTGCGTTTCAGTGTTGCCAAACAGCTGACAATAACAATGGCTTATTTGGCCAATTGTTTATTTACACAAGAGCCAGCATTAAATCCATGGAATAGCAAAGGCCTACTGACGATGGAAGGGTCTTTGTAAATAGCAAATTCAGTCCCAATCTACCAATGGTTTAGCTAAAATCTATCTTTCAGGGGCTGGAAACAATATTGCTCATTTATTATGAATGAAATAATTTATATCTAATTTGAACATAGTTCAGTAAAGGATGCTTGCGTAAGTTTTCAAGCATTAATGTCCATAACTCATGGCAATCGAAGTCGAAATCTAAGCGTGAGTCATTTAGTCATTAGTCATTAGAATGAAATGTATCTTAAAGGTAATGTTAGCAATTAATTTAGATTCAGTTGAATTCGGGTTTTGTTAAATTACACATTTAATACCGAAAATAGCCCATTGTGGACAGCTTGATACATTATTAAAGACGATCGCCGAAGAGGGTTTCTGGCCTCGCAGTCGGAAATAATTATAGCTCGAGGGTTTACACACAACTTAGTTGGCACTGATGGCTTCTAAATCAATTCGTTCTTTGCCACACAACTAATGAAATCACCGATGATAAATTATTCATATATTATTGATTGGCGTTCGGCAAGGGGTGGTTGGGTTGGTTGGGTTGGTGAAAGGGGTCAGGGAAATTCCCGGAATGACCTCTTCATTATCCATTTCTATCTACTCCCGCTCCACTCGCATATGCAAATGTTGAACTCATTCGGTTCGAGTCCTGAATTATCTTTCATTGTCTTTCGACCACGCCCTGGGCTTCATCTGGACCTCCTCCTCCCCCTCCGCCGCCGCTTTCTCCGCCTCCTCCCCCAGTCACTTTCTCCCCGCCACTCATGCATATAGAAATTTTCTTTGTTTTGCTGGCATAAAATGTTCTGTTTTCTTTTTTCATTTTGTTTGGCCATTGCCGTTGGCCTAATGGCCGTTTACCAAACGTTTAAACGGTGCTCCCCCTTGGGAGGTCCCCCATGCCCATGTCCAACCTGACCAGGGCCATATCCTGATCCCAGGTCCTGGACTGACTCCTCGGCGTGTGAATGGCGCACATGTTCCCTGACCAGGAGCAGCCGGAGCAGCAGGCATTGGGAAAAAAATGAAAATGAAAACATAAATTCACGCAAAATTACACACATTGGAATTGCTTTTGAGGGGGTGCTGCGTGGTCAATGGCCGGCAATTTGGGTGGCGAAAAAAGGGGGCGGAGGGGGTGGCATGGCCAAGGGGCCAGTAACACCCCCGGGGAACTGGAGAATTGGAACCGGAGCTGGAGACGGGCTATTGACTCGATGGCTGCCAGTTATCTGCAGCGGCCACTCGCATTATTCATGGCACTGTGGTTCATATATCATCTAGCGCCCCAGCCACATACACTGAGGAAAATGCACTGAAAAATCGCCACACCTGTTTGTGAAACTTCTATATTGCTACCCTGCAGTACCAAAAAACTTCGTTGTTTTTGATGAATCATGCATTAATTTTCGTTCAATTGATTTATGAAATTAACTTGGGCATGTCCTTGACTGTCATGCATGACTAATTCATCAATTTGTAATCGACATGTCATCGATAAAAACAGGGGTTTGTCATCAACATTTTATCGAATCATTATCGAAATTTTATCAACTTTTTTCGAAGAGATAAAATTAGAGAGTCGGTTAACCGAAATACACTTTGATTTCGTGCCAGAACCATTTCAAAGAAGAAATGTATGGCATACTTTTAGTATGTATTTTAGTAACATTTTCGTTCTTTTTGATGAATCATGCATTAATTTTCATTCAAATGATTGATGAAATTAACAGGCATGTCCTTGGCTGTCTTGCATGATTAATTTATCAATTTGTAATCGACATGTCATCGACAAGAACAGGGGTTTGTCATTAACATTTTATCGAATTGCTATCGGAATTTAATCAACTTTTTTGGAAGAGATAAAATAATAGAGGGGAAGGCTAGGTTAACCGACGTACACTTTGATTTTGTGCCAAGCCGTTTAAAAGAAGAAATGTATGGCATACTTTTAGTCACAAGAATAATTTTTCACATATGGTGAACAAGTACTTTAAAACTCTCCCATGTAGAATGTGCCTTTTAATTTAAAAAAATTTAATTTCAATTCTTAAGGTAATGTCTAACCACAATTGTTTGCCAAACTAAGTGAATTTCTTATTTCTCATTGTGCAAGCCACCCCAAATCTTTCGCATATTTTTCCCCCATTTGGATATCATTTTTCATTTTGATTAGTCGACTGGCAAAGAAATCGCTGCAGCATTTGCATTTTAATTAGCCGCAAAAGGAGGAGCGCTTCGTGGGCCCATCCCCCGACTCGTACCCCATTCCGAGATCCACAGATCCATTATTTGTAGTCCTTATCCCGCGGGGTATGTCAATCCAATGGAGTCAACAATTGGCACAGCCAGCGCCAGGAGCAGAATTGATTGGTAATCGATAGCCTGGCTAAGGGACAGACAGACAACCTGGCAGACAGACAGACCCTTCCTTTTTCGCATTATTGACGTGTGGCATGTAAAAATATAACGGCATTTACGGACAGCATTGTGTGTGCCCCCCCACTTTTTTGTGTGTGTGCCTCTTGTTCGCCTGTATTGATTGTAAATAAAGCGCATATTGCTCATACGACTTGTTGCCATCAGTTCCACAGCCCGAATTGCATTGTCATGCGAATGGCAAGAGTCACTCTCTGGCAGCTCAAGTTGGGATGGAAAAGATTGGGGATCAGCATCGAAGGATGTCACGATGGGGACAGGCTCACCTTTGGAAAGGATACGGGCGGGGGAGTATCCCCAATCGATTGATGACCGTGTATAACATATTGATGGGTGGCATTTTGAGGAACCCATGGAACCGGTGGCTTTTCCTGTTTTCCCCCCATTTTTCACCGAACATTGTCCACTGTCAGCATACAAATATTTTAAATACCAATTTCACGATGGCTGAACTGATAGTGTTTTATAAATTCCATTTTTCATATTTTCAGCCGTTCAATTGCATTGTCTTTTCGTCCTTTTTTCATTCGGCAGGACTAAAATAAAATATGCATCCAGTTGCCATCAAATTGTATATGCAATGAAACAAAAAAGAACTATAACTATTTAATGCTGGTCGTATCGCTATCTTTTCAAATCTCTTTGATCGTATTTTCCGCTAATCATGGTATATTCTATTGTCTGATTTAATTAATTGTTCAAAATTTTACAATTCAAAGGACTTACACTCTTAACGCGTACACAAAGCAGTCAGAAATTACGAAATCGGTTTAGTTATTTAAATAATTCGCATCAAAAATGAGCAATCGAATATCATGTAAAAAATGTTAGCTCTTAATAAATATGACAATTGGATGAATTGAAGAAACACACTAGAATTAAGTTTATGAAGACTCATTATGTGAAGGTTAAAGAAGTATTTTAAAGTCAATAAACATAACACAACATTGTAGTTCTTTTTCTTATCAGTGAATAACTGGGAAAAGGACAACTGAATTCATTTGAT